ACTCCTTTGTCACGTGAGCAGAATCATCTGCAGCTCAACGTGGCAAAGACCAAGGAATTGGGAGGGATCAATAAAGTTTTCTGATTCTGAATAAAGCCTACCCCCACCACACAAACGAAGCTGCCAAGATAAATGATTTCAGAACCTTTCCCAGCTTTGACATGACCTTTGACCTCTACACACACTGACTCCTTTTATATATTAAAAATGTGGCTGCACAGGCGGAGAGCTGATGTCAGTACTCTGTACAGCGCTCCAGAGGACGCGGCGTCCATGCCCGGTCTGACCTCAAATCAGGGGAGGTCTGTTTACACCCGACCATGTGACCCACCTGCTGACAGCTCACCTGATAAATGTTCCTCCTGCTGTTTCTTTAAAGCTGCTGCCATCAAAATGAAATGAATGATTGATTTCAGTGTTCTGTGACTCCAACATCACACATCATGAGATTTGTGAGTCTTTGCATTCTGCTTTATTTACACTGCGTCCTGACACCCTGACAGCAAACACAGAGAGTGGGCTTTTTGGAGTTTTCTCACATTATTTTCAGGTTTGCACAGGTGTGCAGAGACACGGTATCTCCCAGATACCTGTCAGCTGTCAGCTGTGGCTCTGCTGAGCAGGTTCAGTCCAAACATGAATCCTGAACGTCAGAGCTGGTCAGCAGACAGAACAGCCAGGGGCGCCTCCAGAATGTTTTCATAGGGGTGGCCACTAAAAGTATTGGGGTGGCCACCAAAAACAGAATTTATTTTTATCAAGCTGTTGTCAAATATAGGTTACCTGGAAAATATGGCAAAAGAGAGAGAGAGAGAAGACTGAGGTGCTTGTTACTAAAGTTATATCACTGAAAACAGAGAAGATTTGAAATCCAGACGAATCTGTTCTGTCTGAACCATCGCTGTTATGAGCAGAAGCAGGTTAAGAGCAGTGTGGGAGACACCAGTGTGGAGCTGGGGTGAGTATACGAACACTTCAGCCTCCTTTTATCCAAGTGTCGGGTTTATTTCATGCCAGACCCCGGGGCCCACACCGGCTCGAATAATTAGACACACGTGTGCTTTAAATCACTGAGGAGGGACTTTAGAAAGGTGCATTCACACAACATATTGTTGTTCTGCAGGTGCTTCCTGTGTGGGTTCTCGCCCACAGTCCAAACAGTCAGTGGGGTTCACAGGTGAACTGGCCGTCTGTCTGTCTGTCTCCGTCAGCTCTGACACAGAGGTGCACCTGTCCAGGTGTACCTCCTCTTGCTCTGAGGCAGCTTGGACTTGTGCCCAATCCGATTATTGTTCATGTTTAGGTCTGCTCAGCGGAGTTTGTAACAGCGGTTTCCACTTAAAGAAATAAAGTTTTGATTTTAAAAAGTGCTGGGAGAGAGGCGTGGTTCAGGAATACTCGAGTACAAGCGGCCAACTGGTGTACATGAGTAGGAGTACTCAGTTACATCCATCCACCTGTTCCACCTGGAAGTTTGTGGAGCAGCAGACCGCAGCGGTGCATGCTGGGTGATCGTGAGGCAGGGCAGCAGCAGCAGCCGGCGGACTCCACCTTCAGCACGGGCTTCACAGTCAGCCGTCCCGCTCCGACGACAGCCCGTGTGGAACCGAACCATGGACGCCAGCGGGCGGCCTCTGACGGTGAGCCCGGCTCTTTCCTTCGGGATGAGACAGTTGTTGTCACACGAAACGCCGAGCTAAGCTAAGCTAATGCTAGCTCAGCTGCTTCTTGGCTTGTTGTCGTTGGTGAAGCTAGCTGCGCAGTTAGCAGGGGCAGCTAACGTCAAACCGACTCGTTCCTGAAGGGTCCCCGGCCTGTGTTTATCTGTGTACCGCCGCTGTGTGCCAGCAGAGCCGCTCGGTAAAGTACCAGCATAGTAATCGAGCTGGCTTCAGCTTTCCACACAGGCTGACCGGGCTAGTCCCGCCGAGCTCGGGCTGCTATTAGCCGCCGAGCTGTCCTGCTAGCTTCCCTGTCGGGCTCGGGCTGGGCTCAGACAAGTCGGTTCTGCTCGGGACAAACTCTCAGCCCTCCGTCGTTTAGCCTGCTAAGCTACCTGGGAGTTTGCTGAGCCTGCTACGTTAGCTTGTTAGCTGCAATTTAAGCACTGACGTCAGACAGGTGAGACTGCTGGGGGGGCTCACAGTGTCAGGTGGAGTTTGGGACTGGGACGACTGTCAGGAGGCTGAGCGCCTGTTGAAGGTGACCCGCTGAGTGCGCAGGTAAACCCATCTTAAACATGTTTACCTGCCCTGACGTTAACACGTCACCGTTTGCGGGGTC